ATTCTTCATGAAATAATTATATATAAAATGTCTACTTTGTGTTTCTGGCCAAAGACTTTCAAAACTAGCTATTTCCTATTTATCTTAGACCCTTATGTCTCAAGTTTTAACCTTATAAGAGAGACTACTTACCAACATTTTATAGTTTGAAACTTAAAAATACATATATATACACACACACTGAATAATAAGAGTAGCAAAACATTTCTCAGTTGATACTGTTGTCATTAATAAGGCTTTGTTTTAGTGTGGTGTAATAATAAACATGATCACAAATCATTAGGGTCAAAATTTATTTGGAAAAAGAAATCACTTTGGTTATAATAGATTATTATAATAGATCTAGAAATCATTGTGACATGGAAACAGCAATTTACCATAAAACGTGATACACAACCACCAAGAGTGATGATATTGTTACATTTACCTTTTACGTCATGTTTAAAAATTACTATTCTCAAAACATTTTTATTATTGAAAATTAAACAGCACAAGACCTTAGCTGTGGCTTACCTCAATAAGACATTTAAATGATCAGGAGCTAAAGGGGACAAGGGCAAGGCTTCTAATTCATGCTAGAGATGTCAGTATTCCTCAGACTTTTCAAATAAGTTATTTTACATGGTCAATCGTTTAGAAAAAAGTATGACATTTTCTATTTTTATGCATTAAGAGTTTGGGGCAGAGCAGTTACCATGTCCCATTTTAGCCATGTCAATCTTTTAAGATTTTTGTATCTCCCTTTACTATTCTTAAATTTACTTACCAACAAATTTCACAAATCTGAGTTGCACTTGAGGTATCTCAGTGCCCTGGTAGAGTTCCTTGTTCTTAAAGTATTGCATTTTGTATTGTACATTCTTATTGATTGACTACAAATTCTTTGTCAGATAATGAAGTGAGTCCGTATTGAATTTGAAGACAGGGCTAACCTTAGTATTGATGTCATACATGGAATGTGTTTGATTGATAAAGCTTACTAGAATTAATTATCAGCTTCAACAACACTGATCCTGCAACTGTAGCTACTAAGGACATAGTAAAGAACCAGGAGTTAATTTTTTTTTTTTTAAATAGGTTTTTGTATAGCCTGAATTATCACCAAGACTATACATTCTTGAGTATTTTGCTCATAAAGGATATACATAGGCTGTTATGCAGAAACAAAGCTTTGTTTATGGTTTCCTAGTTTATTACAAATTTAAAAACCAGTACAGATAGGGAAGTCAAAAAATGACAGATCACAGAGAAAAAAATAACATGATATAAGAGCCTACAAATCATACAAATACAATT